CAGACTGCAGGCTCTGCAGCACAGGTTGCCTTGCACTCTCGTTTCCCCCAGCATCTGATACCAGGGGCCTGGACTCTCACTGCTATACCTGCAAGCAGTACCAAGACAAAAAACGATCAATTCACTCCATGCAGACTCCCACTTTCACCTACAGGTTCCTATCACCTCTCCAGTCAAAGTACATTCCACAGGTTTGCAGCTACAGCAGGAAACCCTTTAGTCTCCAAGCAGCAGCCTTGCAGAACACAACCCTGTTCACCTCCAGCCATGGTGTTTGCTCAAACATCATTTATTTTAAGTCTGCTCTCACTTCATTCTGCCTCAGGCCTAGATCAGGTCAAGCAGACCAATCCCAACCAGAAGCAAGAGCTTTCTAAAGTCTCGATTAGTCAAGCAGAGGCTTCTGTATGACTGAGAAAGCCTCTCTAATGAGCTTTCCTTCCAGCTCTTTGATTAAGCACAGAAGCCAGAACAGCAAAAGTGATAGAAATGTTCACTATGGGCCTTACATTAAGCCTGTGCAGGCAGCCAAGCCAACAGCAGCTGATGGAGTATGTCAGCACGCACTCCATGATGTGAGAGCCTAAGAACAGGTAGGCATAGCTCTGCACCACAGTGCTGCCCATTTCTTAGAGCAGTTACCCCCAAAGACACTGCATGCTCAGTCCATTGAGCTTTGACTCTCTGTCACAGATGGTTTAGCTGAAAAATGGGAGCAGAACAGAACTGCAGAGGTTTCCTCTGTTAGCAGGAGAAGAGACAGGAAGGGGAAAGATGTATGTAGAGTAAGAAAAATATCATAGCCAAGGTAAAATGCCAAATGAAATACAATTTAGGGAAAGCTCAGCTTACTACCCTAAGTTAATTTTAAGGATTTTCAGGAGGCAATACAAAGAGCCGCAGAGGCAGACTCACACTGTGTGGATTCTGAGATCAGTGAGTGAGAGGTTCCTTCATACCAAGACAAATCACAATAGTTCTCTTTTGGAAGAGAGAAGTGGGGGATGCCTGGGACCCTCTACAGCTCTTGGGATTTTCTTTACACACCCTAGTGCCATGACAAATGCAGCACTGGACACTCCTTTGGAGCCAAAACAGTCAGTAGTATATACTGGATACCCAGCTGCCTCTTCTTAAAACAACCATCATATCTTCACAGTTGCAGGATTTTGCACATGCTGGGGCAATATTCCCTGGCAACCTGGAATCAGAGGCAGGGAAGAGTAAGAGTCCCCTGCATTTATATCACATTTATCCACAGCCATTAATGAATTCTGCCATATTTGAGCAGTACAGAGTAGTCCTCGTAAGCACTGCCACTTAGAGGATGTACCACCTCCTCAACCTTAACCTCAGTACCTCATCCAGCAGAGACAGAGAATTTAGTTACTCCAAGAAAACACATTTAATAGCTTCCTTTTTGACAAAGTTTCTGGAAGCCAGAATCTGCATAAAGCATTAGGTTGATCCATCATGTCCTGCAGATACACACTGCTACACTCACTCTGGAAGCTGGGGCTGTGTGTAACAGTCAGAGCCAGAAGCAGTCAGGCGAGCTTCAAAGAGCTAAATGCTCCCTGCCAACAACTGCTCTCATTTCCTTTAAACCACTGATAGCCAGAGGGTCAGCATGTACATCCTGCACCTTTAAAAATGGTCTTGAATCTAACATTTTTGCTGCCTCTGTGCTGTCAGATAAGATAAATTTTTAAGTCATCCACTGCTGTATGTTACACATAATTGAAAAAATGATTTTGGATAGGTATTACAATGCTCGAGTGGCATTTCTTTCACTTGACAAGCATTATCTGCAACAGCATCCATCCTTCTCAGGATTTGGTGCTGTAGATGTTGTCCTACCCAAACAAATTCCCGCAGAGACAATTAGTCCTGCCTTTATTTTCCCCATCAAACATTCCTCAAGGAAGTAAAACTTCCCTCCCTGCTATGCTCTTAAGTCTTTCGTACAACTGGTTTACGAATGTGCAAAGATATACCAGCTCTTTCTTCCCAGGGAGAACAGTCACCTCATGCTTTCCTGAAATTACCACATAGATTTGCTTAAAGAGACTAATATGATTTTCTTTTTTTAGAAGCCAACATATTTTTTGTTTAATATTCCATGTTCTGTTTAGCCTGATTTGTGTCAGGCTGAGGTGTCAAAAGCAGGGAGGTTGGCCATAGACACTGCTGATGGGGGCTACTCTGGGTCTGGAAGAGCCAGACCAGAGTGAGTTAAGACATTAACAACCAAGAATATTCTAATTTTCAGCTAAGAGCTCCTGTGGGAACCAAAACAACACAGAAAGGCTGCAATCTCCAAAGCTTAGCTTCACTTGGTCCTGGCTAGCCTGTCTTCAGGAGAAGCCAGGCAAGGCCACCTGACTGGAAAACAACCCAACAAGGGTCACGACACAGCAAAACCATCAAGGAGCCCATTGCAGCTTGTCCCAGGGGTGGCTGGAATCCAGTGAACTGGCACTTCTCACATGTCTAAACCAAGACTGGGGAAAAGCCTTGGGGTCTAACATCAGTCCCTGAGCACAGGCCAAGCTAACGACATAAGCAGAGTGAGCTGCATTGTCACACAGGAAATCAAACTCCCCTTTCCCCCGTCTGTCTCAGCATTTATGACTGAAAATACAAAATAAAGTTATTAACCACGAGATACCAGAGGTGTTTAATGAAACTCCAATCCCTTGGTCCTCCCTAATACGCACCTACCAGATCACTTTGGAGAAATAAATAAATAAATAAATAATAAAATCTTTGTAGGTCTGTACGGTCGAGAAAAGCATCTAGATTCTGAAAAGAGTGTTTAGGGAACATTTGTTCTCCATTTGTCTAAGGAGCTAACTGGTTAACACCACACCTCCCAGGCAGGAAAGCTGCTCCACTGCTTTTCATTTCTCATCTCTTTGTGCTCAGATATCCCATTTGCAGAGACATTAGTCAGAAAAATGCACCTTTGTACCACTGTGATCTACCCCGGCCTGATGCATCTCAGTACAGTTAATCACCTGCTCCAGAACAAGGTCAGTCCTGGAGTCCTTTCTTTCACCACTGCATACACTCTACTATCCTGCAGGCAAAATTCCTGGTAGGCTACAAGACAGAGGTTCCTCTGTTTCCCTATCTCTTAAAGCCCAGTAAAAATTATTTACAGCCTCTCCAGCTCAAGTATGACACGTGCTGGGACACTATTAGGTTTCTTATGGTGCTGTGACTAGCAATCACATCTGTACCTGACTGTCAGGGGACACTCTTGGCTGAGCCGGCCACCCTGGCCTATTGCGGAGAGCTCTGAAATTTCTCAGTTGAAACATCTGAAAGTTAATGAACCCTTATAACACAAAGCTCCGACAGCTTAAGAGTTCTTTTATGAGCCCAGTACATGGTGGATGCACAGGAAAACCGCACTTCAGGCAGGCCTGTCTTTTCATAGCATGCCCAAGCAGAAGGCCAGACTCTCAGGAACAGCAAATGGCAGTCAGGAGCAAAAGGTACAACCCACAGGGTACCTTGGATGGCTCTGCCATACAGTACTCCAAGCCACAGCAATGCCTATAGGTTTGCTACAGGCAAAGCTATGGTTTTAACTCACCAGTTAGAAAAATCAAGGGAAAAAAAGACATCTCACTGTGAAAGTATTATATCACCCAAATGCCCCTGGGTAGGGAGGCGGGTCCCAACCTCACAGAGAAACGCAGTATTTGAAATAGGGATGGCAATAATCACAAGCCCTCACTGGATAAATCAGTGGCTGTTATAATCGTGAAACCACTCTTAACTCTTTAAAAACAGTAATGCAACAGTTATCACAGCCACTGTCCAAATGTGAAAAAAATGCCAAATGTGAAACAAACATAAGAAAACTCTGGAGTCAGTAATATAGAAATGTCATTGCAGGAAAAAAGACAGTCTTTTCAAAGCAACAATTTACTTACGTACATCTTCATTTGAACTTTGGTTCATCTTCCAGGAACACCTTTCTATCCTGTGGAACCTGTACCTTAAAGCAATCAGATCTAGAACCACAGTCCACCCGTTCCACCACCATTTGCAACCTCCAAAATCCATCAGTACCCCAAGACACAGACTCAGACACAGAGAAGTGCTGCCGTTTTTACAGGCATTTAACACCAGAAACACCATCTCCTTCAAGGTTTCCCTCCCGTGCTCCACACCTGGCCCCAGTGACACCATCAGACCCCAGGATAACACTACATTTAACTGGCAGCACAGGAATGGGATTGGACTGGTACACCCAACACCAAAAGTGCAGGGCAGACTGGGCAATCACTGCTGTGGCAGAGAAAGGGACTGGTTTTTGTTTTTCAGTTTCTGGGACTTTTTTCCCCTCTTTTTAATTGCTAAGCCTGCAAATGGGGTTGAGCATGGGGAAGGGGGAAGGGAACATAATCTGTTGAACAGCTGGGGCCTATCACTTTTCATTGCAGGTCTTGGAGAGATGTGGTTGACAGAGTGATGCACAGAGGCTGTCCCAGTTAATGACTTCACCATTCTCCATCATTATCCCCATCATTAGGAAATTAGGAGGACAGAAGGTATTTACTGTAAACCTGCCACCTCCCAAGGAGAGATAAATAGAAACTGATAAATGGGATCTTCTGGTGCTGTTCATCTATTAACCTTCTGCTTCCCAGTTTAGGCATATGCATGATATCCTGCCATTAATATCCAGTAATTGGCATAGCAGTGGGCAACACGCTCCTACCTTGAGCGTCAAACATCTCCTATGCTGCATGTGAGTGCATGACTACGCGCACCACAGCTCTGCTGCCAGGCTGGGGAAGGGCCCCTGTGCAGCTGCTCACACCTCCGCTCTGAGTCTGAGTGACCAGGCAGACCTGCTGGGTCTGAGGGGAGGCACCTATTTGGTCGCAGGAGAGGGGGCTGTGTGTGCATGACCTCTCAGCAACCAGCAGGTAGGTACACTGGCATCTCCAGCTGAGCTACTGTGTGTTCTGTCAGCCTACCTCCGAATACAGCTCACAGATGCCTCCGGCGATGACAGTCCGGCTCGCTGCAACCTCTGAACATCAAGGAAAGAAGTCTTTTCCTTACCATTGTGAAGTGTTCTGTAAGCTGCTAAACAAAAAAAAAAAAAAAAAAGCTTATGAGACCTCAGAATTTATGAACTTTCTTCCCTAGTCAAAAAGCAGCCAACGTTTCATCAACCTGTACTGACACTTCTGCAGCTCCCTGGCCACATGAGTGGCGCTTTGCATGTGCTAACTTGCTTCACCCTCACAGGCTGAACCTCTAGAAAGTACCAAGTCCTTTCCTCAGCAACCCAGCCCTGCAAAGCTGAAGTAAGTCCACACTCAGCGAGATCAAGATTTTACATAAGCCAGCTCTCCTGCCCCCATAGAAATCAGGCTCACTTGCAGGTCAGTGACCAATCATTTCATCCACCTGGATTATGCCTCTATTTAGGAGAAACCCAACTCCACTGCTACTTTCCCCTATTATATGACATTATTAACTGCTTTACTTACCCTACCTCTAGCATTTTCCTTTCAACCAGCATTATAGTTTCGAATTCATGTGGTGTGCAGGTGACTACAACTCAGAGACACCAGCCAAGACTACAGTTGCCATTTCTGATGAGGAACAATCATAACAACTTAACACAAGTCTTAAGACTACCACATGATTATAGCAATATTTATCAACATGTAACCTTTTCCAGAAGCTCAGGAAAACCAGAGGGCCTATTCTTACATGTACTAACCTGGCAAGCAGTTCATCAGCTTTGTGTTGGATGGGTGGCTTCAATGCCTTGGAAGGAAGGACCGTAGGTATGACCTGTGTTCGCTCCTTCCACACACGTTGGCTTACACACATCAACTCTGTGCAGGAGACTAACGCCAACATGATTGTGATGGCAAGTTCTAATGGGAACACCAGCATTAATTCCCATCTGTCTAAGCAACTGGCAGTGTCCATCAATTACGGCAAGAGCCAACTAACAGTTGCAGCTGCAAAATAAAAAGAGCAGAATTAACATTTCAAGTTCCTGTCATTCACCTGAATTTTTTACAGTTGTAATTAGCAAGCTGCAGAAGCTGTCAACAATCAACATCAGCCAATCTGTCTGCACCAGGAACCCAACTGCATGCCAGAAATTGTCTTAGACAGGTTTTTTTCCTCTTGCTTCCCTCCATTAGAATTTTCCCTTCACAACACTCATCTCTTTTACCACCAGTCACTAGAACTGAACATTTCAATACAGTGAGAGACAGAATGACTGACACTTAACTGATACAGTCATAATTATTTCCTTTCTCCAAACCTCAGTATCATAACATGTTGCTCTCTCCCCAGGCCTCTGCCTCCCTACCCGTACAGGAGCAATGCTGCAACCCCTTTCCAAAAATGCAACCCTTACCCAACTCCAAACATTCCTTTCTGGGGGATACTGAGAAATTTAAAGCTTTCCAGCTGAAGACCTGCTCTTTGATGAGCTAGTGCAACTGCTTTCCCAATCCGTACCAGAAGAGCTTGTTACAGCATCCACCTGGTTCCATTTACCCAGAAACCCCCAAACAACCAATGCTTCAATTTTTGTCTGTTGCATCAAACCACACAAAAATGAAACACGCAAACAAAAATATCAAGACAAAACCAACCAACTCCAAATTCTTGCTTTTTTCAGTGCTAGCCAGAAACCAATACATTTTAAACACTGAGAGTGTACAAAGAAAGCATCCTGGGAGACTATAGACACCTTGAATCAGATGGTCTGCTTTGAGGGGGAAATTATGTTGATTGTTGAGGCTTTTTTTATAGGCCTGGGGTTTTTCCTGTTGTTTTTTTGGGTTTTGTTTGCTTGGCTTGGGTTTTTCTGGGTTTAGTTACTTTTTGTTTCTTTTTATACAAAGTCCTCACATTCTTAAAGCTATTGATCCTTTTCAAAACAAGTTGTGGCAGGGACAACACATACCTCATTATCAATTAAGAGCTGATTTAACCTCTGCATTCACAGTAGATTAGAACACATACAACATACGCAACAAGCCAGGGACAGCTGTAAGTGTCCAGCTCTCACAGGTGCATCCCCTTCTGTACTCTCCTACTACCTGACACGTTAGAAGGAAAGCTCTTCAGCAAAAACCTCACCAACCTGAGGGCACAACAGGCAAGTACAAAAAACCTCCCACTCCGAAGAAGTGGCTTAAACCTCTTAGTACAATATTGCGCAGAGTTCACCTGCTTTGGAACCACAGGATGCAAATCTTTTTCCCAGCCAAATGGTGAGACATGGACCTGCTTCCAGCCTGGCACAGTGAGAAACAGTCTAAACCTCTTGGAGGGCCCTCTCTTGCCAAAACTAGCTGGGCATTGCTTCCCAATCTGGCAAACCCGCTTTTTCCTCAAACCCATCTTGGGAGCAGCAGGAAGGATATGGCATCATCATTCAAGAATAAGGAAATTGAGACCAGGACTCCAACCCCGTAGCCGAGGCCAGGCACCACCCAGCACCCCAAAGTGCCGGAAAGCACTCCCTTCCCCAGCAAGCACAGCTTTCGTACCAACAAAATCCAGAGGAAGCCTCAAGGAACAGCCTGAAGGGATATGCGGGCTCGCTCTTCCCGCCTCACGCCTGAGGGAGCCCTCACGCGCCTGAGGGGAGGGGGGGGGGAAGGAGGACGACGCTTCCCGCTGTGCAACTCTGTTCAAAAAGCCTTCAGCAAAAGAGCTTGTTACGCCCTCGTTACAGTATCCACTTGCGCCATTTACTCAGGAACACCCAAACAACCAGTCCTTCCAATTCTTTTTTCGGTTACACAAAACCACACAAACATGAAGCAAACAACCAAAACCACAACAGCAACAAACCCCAAAACCAAGAACACAAAAAAACACCACCCCCCAAAAAACAACCAAAAAAAAAAAAACACCAAAAAACAACACCAAAAAACCCAAACCAAAAAAAACCCCAAACCAAACAATCAAAAAACCACCAAAAAACAACACTACCACAAAAAAAAGCCAAAAAAACCCCCAACAACCCAAACCAAATACTAAGAACAAAACCAAAAACTTTCAAACATTTGCTCCTTTCAGCACTAGGTAGAAAACAATACTTTTTAAACACCTCAGATTTTACAAGGAAGCATCCTAGGAGACCAGACACCTTGAAGCAGATGCACTGCTTTGAAAGGAAATTTATGTTCGTTTTAATTGTTTTTGTTTTTTTGTTTGTTTGTTTTTATAAGCTTCCTTTTACTCTGTTGTTTTGGGGTTTTGTTTCTTTCGGTTTTTTTTTTTTTTCTTGTTTTGTAATAAAATCTTAACATTTTTAAAGCTAGCGATCTTGTTGAAACCGAGCTGTGGCATAGACAACATATGTGTCATCAATTAAGAGCTGATTTTTAACCTCTGCATTCATAGCATATTACACATACCGCAACAAGCCAAGGACAACTTTAAGTGTCCAGGGATCAATTGCTCCCTCCCTTTCCCATCACGTAAAGCTTCCTTACCGACAAAATCCAGAGGAAGCCTCAGGGAAAAACCTGAAGGGATGTGCGGGCTCGCTCTTCCCGCCTCACGCCTGAGGGGAGCCTCACGCGCCTGAGGGGAGCGGCTCGCGCTTCCCGCCTCACTCCTGAGGGGAGCCTCACGCGCCTGAGGGGGGACCGGCGTTTTCCCGCCTCTCGCCTGAGGGAGCCCTCACGCGCCTGAGGGGAGGGGGGGGGGGAAGGAGGACGACGCTTCCCGCTGTGCAACTCTGTTCAAAAAGCCTTCAGCAAAAGAGCTTGTTACGCCCTCGTTACAGTATCCACTTGCGCCATTTACTCAGGAACACCCAAACAACCAGTCCTTCCAATTCTTTTTTCGGTTACACAAAACCACACAAACACGAAGCAAACAGCCAAAACCACAACAGCAACAAACCCCAAAACCAAGAACACAAAAAACACCACCCCACCCCCCAAAAAACAACCAAAGAAAACCCCACCAAAAATACACCAAAAAACCCAAACGAAAAAAAAGTCCAAAACAACCAATCAATAAAAAACACTAAAAAACAACACCACCACAAAAAAGCGCCAAAAAAAATCAACAACCCAAACCAACAAAAAAAATCCCAAACCCAATACTAAGAACAAAACCAAAAACTTTCAAACATTTGCTCCTTTCAGCACTAGGTAGAAAACAATACTTTTTAAACACCTCAGATTTTACAAGGAAGCATCCTAGGAGACCAGACACCTTGAAGCAGATGCACTGCTTTGAAGAGAAACTTATGTTCGTTTTCAGGTTTTTTTTTGTTTTGGTTTGTTTGTTTGTTTTTTTACAAGCTTCGTTTTATTCTGTTGTTTTTGGGTTTTGTTTCTTTCGTGGTTTTTTTTTCTTGTTTTGTAATAAAACGTTAACATTTTTAAAGCTAGCGATCTTGTTGAAACCGAGCTGTGGCACAGACAACATATGTGTCATCAATTAAGAGCTGATTTTTAACCTCTGCATTCATAGCATATTACACATACCGCAACAAGCCAAGGACAACTTTAAGTGTCCAGGGATCAATTGCTCCCTCCCTTTCCCATCACGTAAAGCTTCCTTACCGACAAAATCCAGAGGAAGCCTCAGGGAACAGCCTGAAGGGATGTGCGGGCTCGCTCTTCCCGCCTCACTCCTGAGGGGAGCCTCACGCGCCTGAGGGGAGCGGCTCGCGCTTCCCGCCTCACTCCTGAGGGGAGCCTCACGCGCCTGAGGGGCGAGGCGGGGCTCGCGCTTCCCGCCTCGCCGCGCGTGCCTCGGTTGAACGGGGGCGCGCGCGGCCACGTGATCGCCTCGTGAGCGCCGTCCCCAATGTGGAGGCCGGGACGGCGCCCCCTGCTGTCCGGCCGCGTCCCCGCGGCTTGGAACGGCGGGAATGTAGGGATTAAGTCCTTAACATTCTCCTCAGACTAACGTTTCAAACTATAAATGAACTGTAATGCACGACAGATTAATTCAGATCAATAAACCAAGGGAAGATATTACTTGAACTGACACAAGGAAAGCTTAAGAATGCCCTGAAGCTCTGTGGCCTGATTTCACAAATGGAATTAAATAGCAAGGTATTACACATCAAGTAAAACGCAGTCAGCAAGAAATTACTATATTTTTATCCAGTTTTCTTTTAGCTTCACATGATTAATTGTAAAGTTGAAGAAATTCCCAATACCTGCTAATTTTAAAATTTCACTAATAAAAGAGAGCAGGAAAATGGAGAACTGGCAATTTTGTTTTCAGAAACAGCATTTCGAGAGATTGCAAACATAGCTCCTCACAGTGCTTATTAAGCAAAGTCCTCAAGGCATTTATCAAGCAAAGGTAACAGTGCTGTTAAGCAAGAATTCAAGTCAGGAATGTCAGGATCTGGGATAGGCCTCTGCTCTGGGAGCTGAACCGGCCTATGGCCCCGTGTTGATGGTGCCATGGGATCCTGCACACAGGGCCCTCGGCCTGCCTGTGCCAGGGTGTCCCGATGGGCCCGTAGCACTGCTCCCCTGCCAGGAGCTTGCGGAGCAGTGCGGGGGCTCTGGAGTAGAACGCTCTCAGGAGTCAGTGTGGAACCAAAACCTGTGAGAGGAGCAGATGCCAGGGGTCTCAGCATGCCTGGCCAGGCACAAGCTAAGCTGTCCAAGTGACTACAGGGCTCCTGAGCCATCCTGTCTCCCTGGCAGCAGCAGGAGCACCGCAGCTGATGGAAAACAGGCGCGTGTGTGCAGAGTCCAACAGAGTCAAAGGGAAGGGATGGACAAGGGAGCACCAGGTTGCTGTGCAGGAGGCGTATGGGAGGAATGTTATCAGCTCCATCAGTTATTTCCAGTTCTGAACCCTTAATGTGAAATGTTCAGCTCTGTTTCAGCTTCCCGATTTAGGGCCTCAATTTCACTGTTTCTGTCACAGCATCTTGGCTTTTTGGTGCTCTCAACTACCTTCTCCTTATACAACCCAAGTGACTCCTTGAAGACTATCCAGGGGTAGAGAGCAGCACAGACAGTGTCAGCCTCAGGATGGACTGAGTACAAGCATCCCAGTTCATTCCTGACATCTGCTCAAGAAGGATATGATCCTCCCAGCAAGGACACTAAGCAGAGACAAGGTCTTAATGAGGATGATTCAAAGAGCTGTGAAAAGCTCTTTCTCTTTCCTCAGAAACAAGAACCCCAAAGTCTCAAAATCTCTAACCCCCCCAAGCCCAGGTGTTTCCCTGAGCCTTACCCCATCTCGCAGGCTGACCACCAAGGCCACACTTCCATAGCTGGCATCATCTCCTAATTAAGTAGTTTAAGTTTCCTTTGGATCCACCGGGAAATGCAAGGAAGAAACCTTAAATTTTATCAGGAGGCTTTTTTTTTTCACCTTGAAAATTATCTGGGATTTTCCCAAAATGATAAAAGTGAGATCATGAATTCCCTTCATCAGAATTAGGATCAAGACTTGAGCACAAAGGCAATATGATGTAGTTTCAGCTGTGCATTCCAAACATTCTAATGTCCACTGCCCAATCCTTTCCAAAAAGAAAAAAAAAATAACCAAGACTTCAATCTTATATGGACTAATACAGCACTTGACCAACAATCTCGTTGTTTAACATCACAATTAATGAGTTATTAAAAACTTTTTGAAAATTCATTAGAACCTTCAGTTCCTGTGATTTGAACAGTCACAAGCTGTACAATCAAAAGGCATAGAGGAGATGGCTCAGTTCACTTCCTTTGGCCAATTGATAATTGGTCAATTGATAATCAGGCTTCCAGCTAGCTTCCATTTTTATTGGAGTAACAGGGAGGAAGAAGGAGTCCCACTGAACTGAACACCAAACCTGCTGCCGTGGTGTTTCCTTCACCACGGAATTAACACCCAACCCAAGTGCCCTGGACAATGTTCATTTCAGGACAACTCACTAAGAATATTTTGCCTAATTAAATACACTTCATTCCCCACAGAACAGCAGATCTCTCAATGCAGGAGAAATTATATCACTTCTTTTCAGTGAGATAGTCGTGCTCTTCCAAAAATGTAAATTAATTCCTGCAGGGAAGAAGAGAGAGGTCTGGCCAAAAGAGCTCTACTTGGCATGATCAGCTTTCCTTGCTGTCTCACAGTCATTCCTGCACAAAATCTGATGTGGCAGCTTGTTTGAAACTTGTTTATTGGGAAGAGGTCATAAGCTGAGCACTGTTCAGAAGAGGTCAGGCATCTGACTAAAGGGTGAATAAACTGAAAGGCTTCACATGCATCTCTGAGACAGAAGCTTGATGAGGAGAGAGAGCTTGTCTTAGAAAAATGTTGCCAAGTACCTCACACCAAAGGCAGCAGCAGACTGCAGGACTGGTTAGAGCAGGGGAAAATTAAATAATTCTGCTGTCAGCATTAACAAATACTCAGCATTGTTCTGCTGTACTTCAGGACAGGCTCATGCTGGAAGAAAGCCCCTCTCTGAGAGGGAGATAACATGAAATCATGCCAGCCCCGAAGAACTGATAGTCAAAACAGACGGGAGAAAAAAGAACATCTTGAAATGATCTGCAAAACAAAGGAGAAACAAACAAACAAAAAAATTAATTTGCTTATCCCAGGTCTTGTGCCACCGCAGTGGGAAAAGAGAGAGCTGAATTCCCATGTCCGGAGCCCCACCTCACCGATTGTTCTCCCAAGGTTTTCCTTCCATCTGTTGCGCTTTTTGCAGTGTGTGGGGAAAATGAAATCCAGGGGCTTTGCCATGTTCTACATTGTCACTGTTCCTCTTACACATTCCTGACACCGCCGTGTGATCATTAGAGCTGTGCTATCCCAAACTTGGGAGGCTGCAGTCACCAGACTGGTGACATTACCAGGCTGCTCTCCCCACTGCTGAACTGGGACTGTAATGCACCAAAGTGACCAGCCAAACAGCCAAGTGCTTCCTCTCATCCTCTCACTCTGCCTTTCTCCTTCCCTTCCTTCATTGTGACACTATTCCAGAGAGCAGCCTGAAAGAAGAAATTTCCTGTTCCCTGCAGTGCAGTGCCATGACTCACAGGTTTCCTCTTGCCAACCCCACACAGTCTCCTGGTCAAGCCCTGCAGTGTCCCACCGGGCAGACTCAGTTATCTGCATCTGGGATAGAACATCAAAATCATTTGGTAATCTCTTGCAAAAACTGAAGTAACTGCAAGTAAGAAAAAAAATAATTTCCAGATTTTCCAAGAAAAAAAATGCTTAGGAAAAAGAGTTGGGGGAGACAAAGTAAAACATGAGAACTATAATTTGTCTGAGGGGCAGGAAACTCCACTAAAAAAAGGAAAATCAGACTAATTTTTCAGGCATGATTTCCTGATAAAGAGCTGCATAGAGAAGAGATGGCCCGATTGATCAAGGGCAAGTGCTTGGTCCTGGCTGCATCTCCCCCCTAGAGTTCTGCTGCACAGAGCAGGATCTCCAGGTCTCCTGGTGTAGTCCCTTCCCAAGAGCTGAGCTCAGCACTGTGCTCTGCACGGCAACTGACTGAATCTGCACCATCTTCCAGGAGCTCTGACCCTCGATTCCTCAAGCCCCTCTCATGCTTTAGAGCGTTATGTCCCTCTAACCTGGAGAGCACCAAATAAATCTCTCCACTCATTAATTCCAGGCAGGCTCTTGCTAAGGGTTCCCTGGAGCACAGGGTGCTAATTTCCTCAGAGCGTGTACCAGCCTCACCTGAGCCATAACCCAACCATTTCTCTGGTGAGAGCCCAGAGCTGGCAGCAGGGACTTCCTGCAGGGGTGCCTGGAATTAACCTCCAAACCTGCGCTCTGGTCCATCCAGTTACAGACAGGAGCTGGTAGATACCATTTATGCCTCTAAAGTATGATTGCTATGCATTACCAGCTATGCTTCCAGCATGCAAAGCACTGGAAATACAGGGAATTTTTAACAGACACTTTAAACTCCTCTGGTGAGGTATGTATCATTAAGAAACCACAAAGTCATGAGAAGCCCACATAAAGTAAGAGCGCTGCTTCCAACACATATGTTTTGCTGCAGCCTTCAATGCAGTGGTTCTGGGAAAAAAAAAAAACAGCACCCCACACAGCTCCTCACCTCTTACAATGCTAAACTTAGCCATGGGGGAGCAGAGCTCCAGCCCAAGATACACCCCAAATATCTCCACTTCAGCCACAAGCCAGCCTGAGCACGTTTTTTGCAGAGTAACAGGTTAGTGTTGGCTGTACAAACCACAAAGGTCCCAAAGCAGAATCATCTTTGGAAAACAAACAAAAAAGGGTTCTACTCCAAAAGAGTGGAAAGCACTAGGAAAGTGAGGAGGATGAAGGATTGCACTCCCCCCACACCTTTCCCTTATGCCCTTTAGATCCCCTTGAAGCACTTTCTCCTCCCATCCCTGTTAGGACACTGCTCTCTCACACGCTCTCACACTCTGCCTTTTCATTGCAGTCTCTAGCAAAATGTCAGAGGAAAGGAAAAGTGACGAGCTCCTAAGAAACTGAATGCCTCATTCTGTTTGAATATCGCATTAACCCCGAGCTCTGCTGCTTCATTTGTCATTTTTCCAGCCCCCTGGGTCCCCATAGCCCCCCTGACCCGGGCACTCTGATTAGCCGTGATCAATGTGCACATTTTGGGAGCTCTGTGCATGCTGCTGGACCCTCGGCCTCGCCCGCTCATGCAGATAATAATGGCACTTCGACTCACTTGCCCAGAACTCCAAGCTTCATTAAACAGGGGGGATGTCACCAAAAGTCCCTTTCACTGGCTTCTCGTTCCCTGTAAGGGAAAAAGTGACAGTGCTGAGAAATGGGATTTGGGATATAAATAACCCCTGGTTTGGGAGTCGCAGTGAATGCCTACAGTTGCCCGTGCCCGTGTGCAGGAGCCTCCTTGCTAGCTCGGGTGGGAGGAGAGGCGGCTGTGCAGAGTGGGGACACTTCACAGAAAGGTGCCCCAGGTCAGGAACAGCTTCAGAAGGACTGGTTCTGCCTGCACAGAGCAGGCTCTGGGCACAGAGCCCTGTCAGTCACCTCTGCTGCTGGCTGGCACACTTGTACCAGAGGTTGGTTTTCTGGGTACATTGCTGTGTCTACTCCCAAGCCATGCTGCATGTTACCCAGCACAGGCACCTTTGCTCAGAAAACATCCCTGCTCTGAAGGACCTGGATCTCCTGAGAGACTTTATTTACTGCTGCGCAGTGAACCGTCCCTCTCTGTAAGTGGCGATGCAGGCAGGGCCTGGACAGCAGCTTCCAGGGCACACCCGGGGAGGGGAGAGCTGGGGGACAGCCAGAGCTCTGCATTCCAGCTGGCTCTTGCCACCAGCAGCCACCATTTAGGACTCTGTTCTGATCACAACCATCTCTCCTGTAGGCTGTTCCCCACCTCCATCTGCACTTATCACCCACCTGACATGTCTTATTCAGCCATTTCCTGGTGCCACAGGTAGGAACACTGAGGCCTTGGTTTGCTGAGCTTCTGCTGTGGGCTGTCAGGGTCCCTGCAGGAAAACTTCTGCATCAGGATTCAGCTTGGGCCCCTTGCCACCAGAACATATCAGTGGGAGCTCTGGGAAGAGTCGGAAACATGATGAAGCAGCTGGAGGTTTTGTGTTTTAAAGTAGGAGGAGAACCACACACACACAAAAATGTTACTATAAAAAGGGAAAAATAAACCTAGACAAGTACACAGTACTGCAGCACTGGCTACAGGGCAAAACCTGTTTGTTTACTCTTCCCATTCTGATGTCCAAAGCCAGAAGATGCAATCAAAGACAGGTTAAATGACCCTGGGGAACTGCAGGGACTGGATTTCAGCCCAGGGCTTTCTCTGCAGCCAGCCTATGGATGAAGGAGAATATCTTAGCAGACTAAAAATGTCTGTAGGGTTTGGACCCATCAGAGAGAGCAATGACTGAGGATAACAAGTGGTCTGAAATGCATGAGTAGAACAATGCACAGCTCAAGGGCCATCCCAGCCTTCTGTAGGCAGGTACACGCCTCCGTCCAGCCCCACCAAGGCCCTCTGTATTAAAGAACAAAACTCTGTCCCCCTTCCATTTCAGATGGAAGTAAATAATGGAATGATCCCCCAGTCTGCAAGACTTTGCCTCCATCTGAAGAAGGTGGTTCTTAAGGTCCCTTTTTTAATGCAGGCAAACTCCTGGGCCTGTGAGCCCAGGAAGCACCAGACATTTGCCATGGAGCCCTGAGGTAAAACCTTGTCTTGCACTGACCCTCTGCTGTCCAATGGGTTCTTGGTCAGAGCACAGGTCACATCAACACTGACTGGAAACAGAAGGATCTGCCAAGAAAATGACCTGTGTCATTACAGCACACACAGCCCCAGGCAGCCTTTGGGGAGCTCAGTGTCTGACCTGATAGTTAAGTAAAGTTATTACACAGAAAATACATTACCAGAATTATGCAAGGCTAGGAAAGAACTGAGCTGCCTGCTCCTGGGATCCAGTCCAGGTTTGCTCCTAGGTCTTCCCTGCTTTCTAGGGTCAGATTTCAATCAATCCAAATGTTTAGGTACATTTGGATTTTAGTTTCCAATCAAGCTCCATCCTCCCCTTAAAAGAAGTACCGCCAGCGCTCTAAAATGAAGATAATTGTCTTCACACAGATGAAGACTTCAAACAATTGCAGATACTAAGGGCTCTACCTTTCTCAAAGCTGTTTTCTTCCTCACTGCAGTTAAGCATCCTATAGGAAAAGCACTATTTTCACAGATGAACAGTCTATGCTATTTTCCATCTACCCTAAAAATGAAATAAAAGTCTGATGAAGCATCAAGGGAAAACACAAGATAGAAAAATCTAAGTATTTTCCCACAAGAAATGTAACCCAAAACCCACAACAACCCAAACCCTGCATTTCCGTGTCATGCCAGATATTTCCCTGACAGTTTGTTTACAGAGGTCTGAACCCTATAGAACTACTTCTCATCTGATGCCTGACAAGCAGCTTCCTACAGAGCTCAGTACACATCACCCTCTGCTCCCTCGGAGGGTCTGAGCCAGGAATGCTTTCCAGCAGAGCCTTAGGGCAAGTCCTACACCCTTTCCCTCCCCAACAAATGTCTCCGAGTAGATCCTCTCATACACTTCAGCCAAGTGTTGAGCTTGTCCTGTCAAGGCACATTCTGTGATGCAGACAGGCTCCCACTGATTTCCATGGACTCCAAGCAGGCTCATGCACTGTCACCTCTCCTGGGAGGAGTTGCAGATTCAGGGCAAACAGGAGCCTCTTCCTTGGGGAGACTCCCGACCCCAGACAGAATTTCCCTTGCCTCCAGAGGACAGCCTGCAGAATGAGCCACTGTCTGTAAAACAAACACTCCAATGCTGCACTTCTCATTACCCCCAGACTTTTGTCCCCTTATTCATGGGAAGGAGCACCCTGGCCATGGAGCCGTCGTTCCAGTGCTCTCCCTGAATAGGACCTTGTTTGTGTCAGAGCAGTGGCTCTGCTGGGCTGAACTCCCCAAACTGCAGCAATTATTCTGGCTGAAACAAGACACAGAGAGCATCGGGATCAGGCCACAAAGACCCCAATAAAGGCAACAAGCACATAATAAAGCCCCCTGACAACTGATCCCTATAAAAGGCTGTCCCTACAGAGTGATGTATGGCAAGAGTTTGCAGCACACTGCTCCCTGCTTTATCCAGACCCAGTCAGCCCTGAAGCTCAGATGATTTCGGTGATTTGCTGTCGTTTTCTCCATCCCTGCAGTACTGCTCATGGGACAAGGGGCAGATCGACAGAGGCCAGCAGCCTCAGCAGGGACACTTCTATCCCAAACCTGCCCCTCCTGTCCTGCTGTAAAAAAAGGAGGGCCAAGGGGGAGGAAAGGAGTGCTGGGCACAAAAAAAAGGGGCCAATAAAGATGACATTCTTGTGCAGTTTAAGGGGAAGGCAGCCTGAATATGCAACGGAAGTGCGGGCTGAACCCCAACACCTGCTGGATGTAATGGACTCTGAAGTGTTGTTTCAGAATTAATCAAGTCATTTAAAATCATAGCTGTAGTCTCCATTCACTACTCCTGTGCATAAACGCGCTGATCCCAATGCTCATCCATGTCGGGTGACTTGAGCAATATATCACCATAATTGCCATTTTAGGGCTGCAAATTGGAGCTAAAATAACCAGATGCAAAAGAGATGGCCGTATCATACTCTCAAGATGGATCTACAAAGTTCAAGGAGAGTTCAAGCATGGAAGAGGCAATAGAGAGGGGTCAAGTCTAAGGAGATTGTTCATGTTCAAGAGGAATTAACTTTACAAATATATTGTTTCTGAGGTAGTAATTGTACCATCTTAGAGCTATTCATACCTCATTGAATCTTTGCATTCTTCTCAGCCATTAGAGTGATTGTTCCTCATTGAAATAAATTTCATTTTGACAAAATATTCTGTTTTTAAACTGCAACTAATTTCCCCAAGATTTTGTGCTTTAAAATAATTCTCTCTGAAACCACCTAGCCCAGAATCAGCTACAAGATCTTCAAACCACAGGCTCAGGGACCACAGACAAAGCAAAAGCGCAGAGACTGCCAGTTCATTTATTGTCGGGAAGGTTAATGACACTCAGAGCTTGAGACCTCACCAGAAAGAGCCATTAGAGTGCTGTTCTCACCCAAAAGAATGTGCTGTGACTGTGGGCTTGGTCTGGAAGCTTCAAAGTATTCAAGCACTTCAGTTACTGTGGATTTTCAGGTTGCCAACACAGAAATGCCTTTTAGCAGTCCAGGAGAGCATTTCCCACAGAACACGACGCACCAAAGTTCACGTAAAGAGACATGTCAGTTGTTGTTCGAACAAATCGAGTGACAGACACAGAGCAGCAAGGGAGGGACAGTAACAGAAGGAACCAACTGTCCCTTTGCGTTTGGCAAAGAGATCTCCACAGTAAAACAAGCACCTGCCCTCAGAAAACAGCACTCCTACACACCTCTGCAGCCCCACAAAATCCAAACAAAAGGCATTTTTATAAGCTCTAGGGCACATGCCTATGCAAGTTTTAAGCCACCCATCAGCACTAGTTCAAGTAATTCCTTTATCTGCTACTCTTAGACTCAGGGGAGCACATTAAATGTGTTTGTCTTCCCAGACTCAAATTGCACCATTTTAAGTCCAATTTCAGGTTATTTCTGAACCACCACCAGACCTAAGAATTACTCTCAGCATCTAATAAGTCACCTGCAGAGCCAGAGAAAACACAATTCCCATTGTTCCTGGAAGGCTGGGTAAGTCTCCCAGTGATTTCTCAGCTCAGTCTCCCGTGATTCCAGCATGCTGCTGCTACGCCTCCAGCAGACAAAGGGGCAGCTCCCAGCCCTGTAAATCAGCCCAGCACCATTGTGCTGGGAGAGCCGTGCTAATTCATCCTGCAAGGAGCTGGTGACCTGAGCCCTCCCAACAATGACACTACAGAGAGCTAATGTGCTATGGGTTACTTGGTAATTCCTGCAGCATAATTGGCCAACACGGAAACGGTAGGAATGATTGAAGTTCATAACTAATTGCAGCCATTACTGAGACAGCATTATTTATTATGAACTGCACGTAGTAGGCCTGATTCTGATTTCACTCACATCTCATTCCAGGCAGTTGTTTGACAGGTAGCTGGTGACATTTCCCATGTGCCCAGCTTCTGGAAGAGGCCCACCCTCACAGCAATAGCTGTGTTTTCAGTACATCAAGTTCTACAGCACTCTAACAACGTCAGAAAAGCAAGGTCTTCAGGGCTTCAACTCAAGGCTGAGTAGAAAAATGTCTGCATATAGCTTGTTCTTTGCCTCCCTCTCAGCAGAACTCTGCCAGCCCACCCCTGATGCTCCAGGCAGCCTGCTTACCTGTCTGCCTCTTGACTCCCATATTTACCTGGCTGTCGGGCTGGGTGGGATTTCTGTAGCCTCATCGGAAGGTTCAGCACTGGCATTACCGGTTTTTCAAATCCTCATATGCCGCTTCATATGGAACAGGAACAGAGTGCGTAGATTCCCTTAAAAAGCTCACGTGGCATTTACAGCTCAAAATACATGACTTCCGTTTCCCATTTTCTTCCAGAGGTCTGGTCACTGAGTCTATGCAGGAGCTTTTGGCAGCTGGCCTCTCTTGGAAGTCCTGCTTTCAGCTATGGGTGCTCAGTGCACAAACTCAGCTGTAGGGAAGGTGGTTCAGGACCGCATTACTCAAGTAACTTTGGAGCTTCCTAAATAGAGAGAAAAATCAGTATGAATTTCACTGACACTGCCCTGACCACGGACTCATGCACAAACATACGAATACGTGTGCATGCATATACATAAAATGTATGAAAATCAACTCTCCCCAGAAATGCTCTTGTTGGACACACTCATTACATTTGACGCAGCCAGGTCAGAGCCTGGAGTCCCTTGCACACAATGAACGGTTCCATTTTTTTTTTTTCTGAGAGCCTTGTCTAAAAACCATCATCTGCAAATTGTAATTTTTCTCCACCTTTCACAAATACCAGCAATAGTGCAGCTCTCTCTCCCCCTCTCTTTTTCTTATTCAGGATATCAGGCAGATAAGAGTTATCAGTAAAGGTCATCCTCAATTTCTGTACAGAAATGATCTGTCTCCGGTATGTAATAAACATTTATCCATGCCTTTATTAGCTATATTGGATCTGACAGTTCTGTTAAACCATTTTCTTTCATTTTGCTAGGTCATGACGGTTAATGCTGCTAAAAAATCTCATCACTGCTTTTGATCACTGTATTGTCTTCCCAGCATTAGTGGGATTTTGTAAAGGTAAGCACTGGCTGGAATGACCTATTAAAGTTACAGCCCGTTGAGTTCCTGGCTTTTTCGTCCCCACAATAAAAAGCAAAGGAGTGCAAAGCATAAATTCTATTCTCGGGGTTATATTTAGTTGGGCAGCTGACATTTCGGAGAGCAGCCACTTCAGGCCCACTTTGCATTGGTTTCACTCTATCTTTCTCACAGCCTTGAGTTTCTGAGGTGGTGCTGGAAGCCACAGCACAGCAAATGAGCGCAATTAGTGGGACCAGGAGGTGACGATGTCCCAGTTAACCCCTACCACAGCAGCAGCACCTTAGGGCAGCTGCTCAGAAACCACTGGCTCAACATAAAGCCACAGGGAATAACAGAGAGCATGAATATGCTGCTGAGCCTTCCCAGAATTGGGACCTGCAAAGGCAGCAATGGGAACGCAACTACCTCCCACGTGCCTGGGCAAGGCTCACAGTCAATGCAACTCTACCAGCCTCCGGGGGAAGTTCAGTGTAAGTTTAAGCTGCTGTTCCCTGCAGTGGGCAGAGGCCCCCTTAGCCTGCTGTCCTGCCAAGCACTGCAGCCAGAAGCAACAGCTTCACAAGGCACAGGTAGCCCTTGTGATGGTTGGCAAGAGAAACCTGTCCCCAGAAGGAACTCCTTCCTTAACCCCACTGAGTTGTGAACAGCTTAAACACAGTTACAAAGCCCAAAAGAACACTCTATCGAGGGCAGAACGGGGCAATATGGGGATATTGCAGCCACAGTGAGTGAACTGGAGCTACCTTAAACATCCATACCTAAAAATCTACCTTCTGCCTGCAGCCCTGTTTTCAGGCCATAACAAGGGGTTTGAGATCAGCAATACAAAGGGTCACATCACCTCTTCAATTTCCTCAAGCTACCCCTTATTTGGCAGCAACAACCCATGCCCTTTTCTTCTCCAGTTGTACCCCACTGTAGCTTCACCAGCTTCCAAAGGCGAACAGCAACAGACTGCAGCAACTCACAAGAACAAGCAAAACGTTATCCTGGTCTCCAAGACGACAGGCGTATCAAAACAGACAAATCTGTCTGAGTGCTTCTCCCTGTGCTCTTCATCTCCCTGTGTCCTGCCAGTCCGTGTTCCCCACAGTCCATGTGATATGTACCTGCAGCACCAGAGGTCTTACCATCCTGTTAAAATGAATGGCAGCCTTGTACACACAGGGGCTTGTGTCCCTGCTGCCAGGACCCTGATCGGCCCCAGGGGAATGCAGGAATCCCCTGCCCTGGCTTTCCGCTTGCCAAAAATCCCACAACTTCCAACAAAGGAAGATCAAGGGTGCTAACCCCGCTGCCCCAGCTGACTTAACCCAAGCCACATTCCCAGTAACCATGTTCAGAGCGAGAGGCCTCCCTTCCCTGTCCCTTGGTGGCCACCCAGCATCAGCATCTCCCCGTGATAATTCACAACCAGGCAGCCAATGGTCTAGGCTGGGCAGTGGAGCCTGCTCAGACACCATTATCCTTCTCTCCAGCCCAGGCTGGAAGTGCACACAATAGACACACATCCCCAGAGGTGCACTCTGACCCCAGTGCTTCAGACCACCAGGCTGCTAAACAAGGGGCAGGACCCCTGTGGTCATGGGAATCTCCAGCATGCGTTTACAACTAACACTGTGTGTGTTGGTGAGCTTTGCCTAAGTTAGCCCTAACATTTTCAGGTGTGTATCTCTGTGTAAGGTGTTATCACTCTGGATATACATAGGCAGACACACGAGCATAAGAGGAGGAAGGAGAGAAAACTCCTCAGAAAAACATTCGGATGAGCAGCTGCTACCTGTGATTTTTCATGTATGGCTCTCTTTCCTGGGTGTTCTGCTTAAACACAGCAAAGGGGTTTCTTCTGGCTGAGAGCAACTCACATGCTCCACAGAATTCACCCTCAGCAGCCAGTTTTGCCAGGCCTAGCTCACTCAGTACAGTTCCTTCTCCACACATCTCAACAGGACTCAGAGGAGATACGAAACAACTGGGTTTGAAGGGCCAATCTTCCAGGAAGAGGGAAGTCCTGATGTCTGACTTCTCTATGAGCCAGCAGATTTGTGCAAAGAAGCAAAAACATCCATTAAAATCAACTAATGGATCAATTTGCCAAATTATTTGTCTTTACAATGAGACATGTAATATATCCTGTTATATGCTGATGGATTTTAGCAGCAGAGAACAAACAGTCCTGAAAAATAAAATGCATATGCAGGTAATGCAGCTCGTAGTTCACGATTACAGTATATGACACTTAGAATCCACCAAGTCAATGACTGAGCTGATTTCTCTTCCCTAGCTTCTGCTAAGCAGGTTGGCAAAGACGGAAAAAAGTTGATCTACTAACGAGTTTAACACAACCCTGAAATAAATCACATCCAAAAGCTAGAAGCCTGCCACAGTTTAGTAGTTAAATCATTTATTCCTAGAACAAAAAACCAAAAACATAACCCCCAATCCTGCCCTGAAGTCATTACCAGCATGATCCTCTATTTGAAGTCTTGCAAAACGCTCAAGGAATGGCCCCTGTGATTTGGCCACTGCAAAAAAGGCCAGAGGAAATGGAGATCCCAGTATGAGAATATTAAATTATTATGGCTTTTGCATCAGGGGGCACAACTGCAAGTGGTCCCCCTCCTCTGCTGGCCAGGCTGTGCCACTCCCTGCCGTGAGCTCTCATTGTCATATCCAATATTGGCACGCTTTGATAATGATAACATTGTCAAGATAATAGCGGGGAAGTTTCAGTAGAAACTCCATATTCAAGAGCCAGCTGTGCACGGCCCCAGTCACTTTTGCTAAGAAGATGCCTTCAAAAAGCAAAATTCAGTCTTGCTCCTGAGAAAAAAACAAATTACTCTGATCCCCAGAAGAAGAAAGAGAAAGGAAAGAAGGTTATTGGACAAGAGAGGGATGAAAACCACTTCCTGGAGACATTATTTTTACATGAGTTTAAATTTCTTTTTGTTCCTGAAGGCATTTCAGTCAGTGCAAGCCAATAACACTGCAAACAGAAGAACAGGTCTTAAATCAGAGAATAATTACCTTTGTGAGCTTTATTGATTGCACTGATTGAGCTGAAAGAGTTGGGGGGCTTTTCTCTTTCATCCACCTTCTTGCATGACATAACTATTCAGCAGCTCAAATGAGGTGGGACATAACGTGATTTTTGGCAAGAATGGTACTATTGTTGAAGTCCAGAAATCTTTATTTCTAAGGGTTTTGCCAAACTTGCTCCTTTGTCCACCCAAAATAATAGCTTTGAAAAAAGAAAGGAGAAAGAAAAAAGTCTACTCCCTCTTCCCTTTGCCCTTTCTCCCTGTCTGAGTCTGTGTCATCCTGACTCAGCCAGGCTGAGGAGCTTCAGAGCACTCATGCAAAAGCTCTGCCAGGGTGAAGGCTGTGGGCTGAGCGCTCAGGGGACGGGAAGCCCACCCTCCCCTGCACTGAGGAGGGTAGCCCAGCAGCCTACAGCACCTGAGGGTTGGGCTGTGGCAGGGGCAGGCACACTCCACATGCCTCTCTCGTGCTTTTTGCTCACCTTGGCCTCCTTTTACACTTTAAAGTCATCTGAATTTAAGTATTTTCTCCAGTGCCTTACACTCCTCACCACATCAGTTGAGACATAGAAAGTAGATATTTGCTTCTGGATTCAGCAGCTTGCTGTGACTGGACTGCACTGAGCTGTGCTGGTCTGTAACCTCAGCCCCAAAACCCTTTTCACCAACAGAGAGAGAAAGGGGATCAGAGTTAAAACCACCTCAAGCTAAACCAACCTACCCTCTCTCCTCCTGACTTTCTCCAATTTCATCAGGTCTGTATTTAATCCTTTAGCAGAATTCAACTTACAGACTGCAAGTTGTAGAGCATGCAAAGCAGGGGTGGAATCTCACATTGTTCCATACAATTTGTCCTGAGCAGGGTTTACATGTTTCTGGCTCTTGCAGCAGTCAGAAGCAGGTAGCACAGGCACAGAAACCTACCTGTGCTTCCCATGAAAGTGGGGACATGCCTTTTTACTGACTCGTGCCTGCACGGTTATTCATAGAGCAAGAGCGACATGAGCATAAATTACTAAGAGGTGAGATGCCTTCCCTGACTCACGTTTGCAGTGCATTGCTGCCTGAGCAGGAACCAGCACAGAAGAAGCAGCGCAGAACAAAAACCCACAGGATTGCCTGGGTGACCTGGAAGCTCAGGAAAGACACGTCCTGAAGGTGGGATGCTGAAAGAGGGAGTGGCAACCTATAAAAGAAATAATGAGGAGAGACGTTACCTTACTAGATACTCCTAAGAGAAATAAATACTAAAGTAAGAATGGCAAGTCCTACCCTCACCTCTGGTAGAACTGCCTTCTTCAGAGGGGTTTAAAAAGTAGATCACAGTGCAAATAATCCATCATTTCCTCCCACAGACTAATGTGGACATGGTGTCCCACAACCATCTCCCTATCAGAAGACAACAAAAAGAGAACAAGCCATTTTTTAAAAGCTTTCGATCACACCCTATCATTCTAGCAGGGTAGACACAGACATACATTATTCAAACACAGTATCTATGTCTCAGCAGCACAGCCTTACTCCCCTCAAAAGCAGTAAGCCCAGGTAAGGGGTTACCTGCGTGCTCACCTCTTTCTGCCTTTGGCAGTTCTATGCCTTGGCCAGTCAGTCTCCCATAGGAGGCCAACAGAGAGGCTGCCTCAGCCCCCAGTACTAGAGGCAGCATTCCTGAAGTCAAGAGAGTGGAAACTGCCTGAACTCCCTGACAACTTCGTTTCCCTCCCTCTCTCACCAGGCCCTGCTCCCGTGTTTTCGCTCCGAGTTCCTGCTGTGCCACTCACTTGCCCTTCAGGAGTAACAAGGGGACATCGCAGTGCCTTTCAGAGGGAAATGTGTCTGCAAAGCACAAGGAAGAAATCCAAGGGATAGAAAACAAGGAACAAACCCCAATTTTTTTGGTCCAAAACATAGGACGTATTCATAAATACAGAATGTAGGATTTGAGGGGTTTCTGGCTTTTTCCCGCTTGGAGAAGCAAGGGAACAACCAGTTTGCTCGGAGCTGCTCAGTGTGGAAGGCCAACGTCAGGACTCCTCCATAGCCCAATTTTATCCCCAAGGTAGCTGCTCTCTCCTTTGAGAGGGGCACTGTGGGACATGCAGGAGAGGGGGAAGGGGGAAGCTTTTCTTTACACTTGTGCTGTGCTGAATGTGGACCATCTGTGCCCCCAGCTGGAGTGCTGGAGATGGTCTGGCACTTGAACCACACCATATTTACAGATCTAAACACAAATGGCTACTGCCTGATTGTTTCATGATTCATTAGTCAGACAAGCTCTCCTCTCCCGCCAGCACAGCTGTTACAGAGTAAACCTTTGTCACTTAATAGGCCTGATTATTACTTTCCATCAAAGGTATTGATCTGTGTCATCTCTACTTAAGGGAAAAGGGGAGAAGTGAAAAGGGGACCAAAATGTGTCAGGAAAACAAGAAAGGGGGGGAGCGGGGAAAATTCCTAAAGAATGACATTTGTGTGGCGAGTAGGGGCAGCGGTCAATGCATTTCATCTCTCCTGGCTGTCCTGTATTCATGTATTCATTTACCACGGTGCCGAGGTTACTCGTGGAGATGAAGCGTCTCACATGATGTGCCGTTCCTTGCGCCGCACCAGACTGCTGCAGTCACACAATATGGCCATGCATATAATTGGTCGGCCAAAGACACAATGTGAATTAACAAACAGTATTCAAAAAAAGAGATCAATTGAGACATGTTGCAGAAGGTAAAAATACAGGTTCATCTCCAAATGGCAGGCGGAGGGCTGAAGAGATTGATGGCAAGACATCAGCGAGCAGCCCCAGGGTTGAGCCCTCGCCCACCAGTTTACACCAGTGGAGGAGCTGGCCCTTTTTGTTCAGTACACCAGCTCGGGTAGGACGTGGTCTGTTACATCATTGCCAGGCAGAGTATTTTACCACAGCTTGAGAGCTCCTCGTCGCTCTGCAGCCGCCTGCCAAGCTGCCATTGCAGCAATCCAGAGTTATTGTGGATTCACTAGCTTCACTGGCAGGAGGAGGTTTGCACCAGCCAGACCGGGAATTTCATGGCCTCTGACTCCCACCACTGCTACCAGCAGCACTCCTGCTTCCCTGCTGTATTTGAGGTGGTACCTGGTACCCACCATGCCAGCTCCCAGGAGGGACGTGGTAATGGGGAGTGAGAAAGCTCTCCAGCGAAGGGTCTCGCTATTTTCATTTTCCTTGCATTTAAGGGATCATCTCCCCCGAGGCCAATTCCAAAAGCCCTTATCCAGTCCTCTTTCAGACTAAACAGCAGTACAAGTCTGGGAACTACAGGACAGAAAAGGAGCCCCAGCAGAGACTGCTCGGCTTGCACCCACAGCAGCATAACAGTGTCACAACTCAGAATATTGGGATCACAGAAGAATAAAAGAAGTTAAGTGTGCCCTCAGAGCCAAACACAAAATACAAAGCCAGTGCAGATGTTCTGAGTGCTGCATCCCTCTCTCTACCAATCCAGGAACAGTTCTGGGAGCAATCCAAAAATTACTGGTGCTCAGTTACTTTAGAACACACGCTTTCTGGGTGAAATCCACTCCCCTTGTTCCACATCTTGATAACTCTAGGACAGGGCAAGGAATCATCTTTAAGAGCTTTTGGACCAAAGAACTCCAGAACCCTAACTCATTAACAGACCAAAACACACACGACTAAACCCGTGCCCTCAGGAAACCTGCCCCCTCCACCCAGCGTTTCCCCCAGCCCACTCAGATCCCACCCCTACCTGCTCGCTCCCATGGCCCGGGGCATACACATTTTAGCCACATGGGACGAAAGCTTGGAAGGCTGCACACGTGACACCAAGCAAGAGCTGTGGCACACACAATCCCTGGGAAGTGTTGCTTGGCAGTCCTGCGTGAGCCGCGCTCTGCGCCAAGGGCCCGGCGCTGTCCCGGTGCCAGGAAATCAGCCGCTCAGGCACGGCAGCGGCCAGGCCGGCGCAGGAGCAGAAGGGAGCCGTCAGACCCAGCAGACACCCTTGCTCTTGTTTCCTCCGGCGCTTCAACAAGTACCAGCGGGGTAGGGGTGGGTGTGGGGAGTGAGGAACTGGAGAGATGCTGGAAATTTTAGCTTTACCCATTTATCTTTCCAATGTGTGAAGGAAGAAAACTGCTTAGTCAGTGGTTAAAGAGAGACCAAAACCAACAGACTGAGGTGATACCTTAGAGCTCAGGTTAGGAGCAAACACCTTCCCACTTAAGAGTTGTCTTGTCAGGGTAAAGGTTGCCATTTTGTCACAGAGGCATTCACAAGGAGTCAGGAACAGGCTGTTGGGAACAATCCGGCAGCAGGCAGGTCCTCACCATTGTCAATGCTTCATTTTCTTCCCTTGGAGACCACCTTTGATTCTTGTAGTTGGTGACAAGACTAGAACAAGGAGCCAGCAAGGGAGAGGAAAGACACCAAAAAAACCAAGAAAAAAAAACCAAGTCAAGTAGCTCTGAAATAAAACCTTCATTCTCCTTTCCCGGAACTTATTGAGAGTAGGGTTTTACTATTAGTTTTTCTTTTTGTCCTCACTGATACAAATCAGGAGCAATTGCCCGTGAGTCCCACATCATACCTGCTGTCAGTGTAGCCCAGGAGACTCTGGAGATGCACCAGCATTACCAGAAACACCTCCTCAACTTCATAGCAAAACTCAGACAGAAACTTTTTATGCCCCAACATCCAGAGTTATGGATCCTTCCTCCTAAGTCAACAGGCACTACTGGCTGGGGTGAATTTCCAACCTACCTCCAACACTGATTTCCTCCTTTCCTGATGTACAAACAAACCCCTCAGACAGCCTTGGCAGGTAGTTGAGGCCTAAGGCCTGATAGCATTACTTACCTCCATGCCACAAGCCCTAACTTCTCTGCAAGAGGCAGCAGCAGCACCGGGCCAAGCCCATCCCCAGATTTTCCATATAAGTATCTATGTTGCAGCTGGTATAAATTGCAGCAAGGCTGTGTCAAGTTCCCTCTGTGAGCCTGGTGAAGGACTGCCCCTCAAAATTGAATTGTGTCATCAGCCCAGGACACCTTCGCTGGAAGGGGAGGGGGAAAGGGAAGAAGAAAAAAGAGAAAGATTCAGGTCAAACGATTGATTACGGCTCTGAGTTACAGGGGGCTATTGATTTTTCATTAAACACCATGTACTGCTGTAAAACGGCAAAAAGTAATTCATTGATCCGAGCTGTGGGCCATGTTCACTTATTGGCTTCCTGCCACATCCCATTATTCCGAGCTCTAAATGTATACTGCAGAAGTCAGTTCATTCTCATCATTGCCTCCTGTCACCAGAAATGTCTCTCACTAACTATTAGTTTAATCACCCCTTTCTTACAATGGTAATGAGTGATAATATCAAGCATTATGGCAGATTCATGAATATTATTCATGGTATTCCAGTACTGCATCTCACAGTGCTTCAGTTCAGGGTCCGTGGTGTCTCCCTTGCAAAGTTCCCAGGTCAGGGACTTTATAAATCATTTCTCAAAATTTGCTGCTGGCAGAAGTAAGGATGTCTTGGTTCTGGAGAAAATATTGTTGGAACCACTCTCCGTAAAGTCCTTCCAGCCACAGTTTGGCTGCAGACAGCAAGAGCTGGAAAGGGGAGAAAAAAAGGGGGAGAAAGAAGACGAACTTGGCCAGCTCAAGTGCTTTTTGCAATGGATTCAAATGCCATCATTTCACAAACAGGATGCTCTCACTGCTACATTGGACAGCGATTCAAGGACCGGCACACTCTTCCTGCAGCTGACACACAAGCAGCACTGGCCCTACTCTGTTGCTGAGAGCGACACTTGAAATCTAAGAATGTCTTCTCTGAAACCTTTTGCCTTCTGTGTTTGATAACCTGCTCTTTGAGAGCGCCGCTTGCCACATTTTCTCGCATGAAGTGGCTTTTCCAATGTGTTCCGATACACTGCCTCCCCCTGAAGCCAACCTCCTGCCCAAGCTCTTCACAGTTTGTGGCGAAGGAGAAGATGAAGCCTGCTAATTCCCGCTTCTGAGTCCAGAGCCTGCTCTTGAGAGGTCAAGTGGGGCTCAGAGGGGCCATCTGGATAGGAAAGGAACAGCCAATTCCAGGCATCGACTTGCTTTTGTGCAATGGGGCTCTGCAGAGGGAGAAAGAAGGGTTCTACACGAGGCAGTCCCCACTGTAAATGAACTCTAGTGAGGAAAAGAGCTAATGGGTGCATTACAGCGCGTGGGAATAAGGTAGAGGATGACTGCAAGGACAGCAGTGATCTGCCTAAAGGCATCACGTAGAGCCCAGAGGAAGCTCTTGATTCCCAGAGGATGCTCCAGGGATAAGTAACACTTTTCTTACCAGACACACGAACAAAAGAGCAGCTTATCCATGTCAGGTAGTTATATGGGTAGCTCCTATTATCAGCAGGCACTCGGCGATCTCTGCTGTGTTTGTTCTTGCAACACCCTCATGAGGGAGGGAAACACAACCCTTGCAGATGGAGCAAGATCTGCCTGGGTAGATCTCGACTGTGTCAAGGAAGAGTGCCAGTGAAGCCAAAGAGAGCAGGACCCTGACTGTCCGAGATACTTCAGCCTCTATATCCTACAGGATATCACTTGTGACTCAGTGCACAAATGCATGATTTTGGCCTAACCCAAGCTCACACCAGGAGCCTGCAGCAGAGCAGACTTATCTCCCGTGTTCTCTGGGAAATGTTACTCTCATTTCTGCTAAGACAAACGCAGCCACCATGGACAGGAGCATCCTGCACCTGCATGGCACTCCCCAGCCTCACAAGAAGTTAGAGAGAGCTCCGAGCTGCTATTCTGGCTGCCTGAATGTTCCTCATCTCCCAGAAAGCACCGTGCCTGCAGCAGCCAGGTCATTTAAAATGGATTGGTTGATGCCATTACATCTCACCCTAGGAATGAAACCCTTAGTGGCAAGACCTGCTTATTCCTCTAATGTCCTCACCTTGTGCCAAATGAACAGCACTAGTGTCACATCGTTTGCAGAGGACAGAAAACCTCTGCAAAGCTGCAACCAACAGCCCTTCTCAAGACTCTGCCAGGACGTAGCACATATCCTGGGGTAATAAAGCCTTCACATCATGCTTCAGCACACCTGAGCTGAGGCTGGGATTCAGCAACATATCCAGCCACAGCTCCAAGCCCACAACAACTCCCACCTAGCCTTGCTATGGATGCCCCCATGTTTTATTCACATTTTTAACCTTTACACCTGCTCAGGGCAGGGTTAAAAAGCAAAGGGAAAGGGAAGACAAAACCCCTTCAGACTCTGTACCTTACCCTTCTCAGGTAACCTGTACATATATCAGCCTCCTGTAAGCAAATGTGAGAGAGCACTGACGCTTTTTTAAGACAGTTCAGTTCCTGCAACATGGAGAGAACCAACCTTTTGCTACAAAAGCAACTTACAGCCGATCTTCAGAATTGACCCCTTCTCTCATTCTCACCAAGTGCCTTTCCTTCCACCCACGCAATGGGTCTATCAGAGCCCGTGAGACTGCAGAATGCCATGAATTATGTGTGTGCTTGTCAGAAGCGTGGCCTAAACACTTACAGTGCTGTAAATATAAACTCAACAGCTGCTGTGCCTTACAATTCAAGGTAAGGCAGAATAGCTGACGTAAATTGTGCCAGCATGCTATCAACATAAAACAACAGGGCACGATATATTACCAGGAGCCCCGAGCACTTCACATCTGTCTTGACACCACCGTGGGTTTGATACCCGTCAGTCCAAAGGAGAAAATACAGCTTGCAGAGGAAATCATTCCAGCCCTATCACAGGGTAGGCAGGCAGCACTCTGCTCAGGCAGCATTAAAGGATTTGGGCCATAAGGCACAGGCAAATAAGCTGATCTGTTCCACAGGAAAGTACCTGTCAGGATGAGTCTCAGTTCAGCTGGGTGCCTACACCAGCACATAACCTCGAGCTCCGATTTGAGAAGAGCTGCTTGCAATATCCATTTATGCACATACTTAGGCTGTGCTCATACACACGGGCAGTCTAGACCAGGCTCTGCCAGCTGCTGCCTCACCGCAGCACTTCACACAGCCTGAATGGCCTGGGCCAGCCTGGGACCCAGTCTGCCCTTCACCACAAATCCCACCATGCCCATAACCAACTGCACTGCTGTAAAAACCTCACTCCCTGCTCCTGATAGAAGGTTGTTTACTTCTGAACAACGGAAGGCTTGCTTAGATTAAGTGCTATTTTAAATACAGCAAATACATGCACCTGTCGAACAAGGTACAGTCTTGAAGGCTCACGTGATAACTGGATGCTGAAAATTAGGGATACAAGCTATTGCCTATACCCACTCCCCTGATCCAAGCCTTTCCTGATCTTATCATTACTTACTAGGCGAGATAAAAATAAGTCGCTCCTTAAATGAAGTCCTGATTTTTTCCACAGGGCTTTGACCTGACAAAACCCCTTGGTATTAAAAGCCCAGAAGCTTCCCCCTGTCCTGCTGTGACAAAATCCCTCTGCTCAGCTTTAACTCAAGGTACCTTCCTGATTCTGGTGACATCATTGGTGGCATCTGCACACTGAGAGATGTTGCTGGAAAACCAGGGTGGGAGACCAGTGTACACTCAGCTCCCCTTCACAACTGCTCTGTATTTGTTCTGCAATGGTACCAGCTATTCTGGACACCACGAAGAGGGTTATTTTCACAGATAATCCCAGTTGCCTTACTCAGACTCCAACCTGCTGACAGAGGTTTTGCCCTGGGGAACAAACGGAGCAGAAGCGGAGCAGAGCCAGGCACAGCAGGCATGTGTGACTGCTAGTGAGCACTGAATATTGCCAACCACTATAAAACACAGGAAAATAGCAAGCGGGGGTTTAGGCAGTTTAAACTGCCCTGCAGGGAATGCTACCAATAGAAACTAATACATATGCAAGCAAGTGCAAGCTGCCTGGGAAACAGAGCACTGTGCCTCTGGTGTCAGATAAAACCCAACACTTAGATTGCCTTTGGTCCAGCATTAAGTGCATTATTTAACATACATATATCCCCAAAAGATTCTTCCTGAATATCTACACAGATCTTATCCTCTCAAGTTCAAAGTTTTAATGCATGAGGGCAACATTATGCTTGTGGTCTGAATTAGGAGTGACTGGTTTTGCTTGTCTGAAAATAGTCCAGATTTCTCCCTAAGTACCTGGGAGCAGAATTTGCCCATGTGGAGACACCTCCCAGCCTGGGAGGTGACAGCAGTCTCTTAAGATTACTCAGGAGTCTCAATTTAACCATCTTGTCTTGTGCTGTTGTATTGTCAGAGACCTGCTCATTCACCTGCTCTTGGTGTTGGTGGAAACTCAATTTGTCTCCCTTTCCCAACACTTTACTCCTCTTCCAGAAGAGCTGTTTTGCTTTCCTGTGAGATCCTGCTTCATGTTTGTGCAAACTCCTGTCCCAGAGCAGGGGGAACGGTGAGTCAGGGCCCACACACACACAGTGGCAGTGCTGTGCCAGGAACAAAGATCCCAACGGAGGTCGGCAGCACAAGTGGCTGTCACCACATCAGAGCAGCCCTCCAGAGGCTGAGCACTTCCAACTGCGATTCAGATCTGCCATGGAGTTCATCATGTTTATTTAGGCATTAAAGGCAATTTCCCAAGCACATGTCTGTCACATTTAGACACAATGGGCTAGCCCATAATTAGGAAGCATATGACCTCACTGCCTTTCATTGGGAGAAGCCGGCATCCAATCCGTTCCCCAGATGATAGAAGGCAACTGGCATTAGGAGGGAAGTTCGGTGTCAGCTGGTAGAACATGCACAATACCTGCTGTAATGGCCCCCAATTCATCATCAGCCCCTCCACCATCAGGACTTTGTCAATGGTTTGCTCATCAATTTGCTTGTGTACCAACACAAGAGATGAGGAGACAGACACTGCATCAGAGAGAATGATCACAGTCCATGAAAGAAGGAGGTAAAAAAAAAAAAAAAAGAGAAAAAATCCAGGTATGCAATTTCTGCCTTGGCAAGGCAGCACGGCAGGCCCAGGGCCAAAGGCAGGGTTAGC